CATTGCGAAATAGGCATTCATGCCACAAAATTGAGTATTACCTTTTTTCCAAAAGCAATAAACTACATAGAAGAGTAAAAAAGGTAATTCTAAACTTTCTTTACTAATGCTTAGGTCTACCCAGATTTAACTGTTCTACTACTAATGAACTAATCAACAAACTTCCTAAATACAAAAAATTTCGATATTATCGATTTAAGGGAAAATCGAAGTTGTGAATAGAATAAAAAATTTTTAAAAAAAGACCTATATGCAATGGATAGATGTAAATAGAATATTTAATAGATAATGTATTAGGAATTGTCATCAAAAAACAAAAAAGTTGTGATGTATATACACCACAGAGGTACGGATTTTAACGTGAAGCAAGTGACTCGTAATTTAGATATTCACTCTTTTTACTAAGTTTAGGAACCTACAATATATATTATTGTATTAATTAAGTCAGTATATCGCATTAGTAGCCATTACATGCAGATCGATCACCGCGGCTTTTGAAAAAGCATGTGTAATCATCTAGAATGTTAACGATAGTTTACTTCAGGTGATCTAATGGCCCCTTTGGATTGCTATTTAGACCGTATTTTGTAATTTTGCTTATTGAAATTACATTTAACACTTTGAATAACTGTTTAGACCCCACTTTGTCATTTCTTCTTGGTTTTTTAGTTTGATGGCTCAGCCTCATTTTATCAATGCGGAAGGATTCCTGGTACTGATGTAAATCTTATCTTAACTGCACCATGCTTTTTGTGGCAAGCTTAGATTATTTCAGGAAATTAAGTGTAAATTATAGACATTAAGAAAGAATAGTGATTTGGATTTTCCAGAGTTACATCATTTAGTACATTATTCTTTGTTAGCTTGTAATCCAGATTCTCAAAGCTTTTTAGTTAAAGGTACAGGGGATTATTCTGATCTTTAATCTTAATGGGATGGAAAAGTCGACACTCAGAAAAAATTATATTCATAAAGTGATTATTAAACAATCTTTCATTATTAGTAAATTCTAATTTTAATAATAAAAAAAAACTTGCAGAGTGCTGTGCGAATGCTAAATTAGCACTAATTGAGAATTTTTTATTTTTGTAAGTGAACCAAATATTACCCCATTAGTGTGATATTAGTAGTAATATAAATGCTTCAAATTTTTTTAAAAAATATTAATTATTTTAAGAAACCTCCCTATATCATATTAGCTTTTATAAGAAAAGTCTTTAGGAAATATCCATATATAATAATATTAATCAGAAAACTTTTTGAGGAACCGCAATCGCTAAGGTTTTGTTTTTAATAACGAAACGTTTCAATTACTTGTGAAATTTTAACAACCGAAAATATTTTTGTTACTTTCTTCTTAGGGTCACGCCTTTAAGAATGAATGTTGCGAATATTTCACTTAGCAACTAAAAAAAGTTTTTTTACAATTTGTATTCATATAAGAAAAAAGTATAAAAGGAAAATGGCTAACGAAAAAAATTTAACTTACAAAAATAGAAAAAGACGCACTCAAAAACGAATCATGTGAGTAACAATTTAACGAAAGTGTAATTGCGCCTAAAAATATTAAATTACAAGACATATTTCACTCTAAAAGCAGCCATTTCACATTCATAAACAAACACACATACTCACCTACACAAACCCAAACACAACCATAAACACAACTCAACCACAATTAATAAGCAAAAAGCCAAAATAGATGAGGCATGAGTCAAAATGTAAACAGGAACAAATTGTTGCGTTTCATATTGTTGTTGTTGTTGTTGTTGCTGCCGCTGTTGTGGTTGTTGTGTTTCTTATTATATCATTTCAGAATTTAAGTTATGAAGTCGAAAAACAAGTTAGGAGAAGTACCGCTAGTCGATGAGAACAACAACATCAAATAACGCAAAAGGTCATTTACATCATTGCAAAGAATAATGGAATCAAAACAATAACGAAAATCGTACAGCAAAACAACGAAAGAATACGAAAGCATACGAAAGAAAATAAAAACAAGAAAAGAGTAAAGAAATGAATATCGTTTTGTGCTCAATGGAAAGAAAGCATATTTGCGGAAGAATTGTGTGAGTGCTACGTTTTGAGAATGGAATAAGCGATTAAAGCGAAAGAAATTCGGTTTTCAAGCGGTAAATATTTAATGAAAATTTGGTAAGCAAAAAAAAGAAGAGAATATTAAACAGTAAAAAAAATAGTGAATCCAAATATTGCAATGATTGCAAAAATTATAAATAAATGATGTATACAAAATTAATATCCAATTATTAATTGTAGAAAATAAATTAAAAATAAATTAAAAAAAAATAAAATAAAATATTGTATATTATTGGTAAAGATAATTAAAAAAAAATTGCAAAAATTATATATTATGAAAGAAAACTATTTCAAATAAAAAAAAAATATATACAATATTATATGTAACAAAAATTGAAAAAATAATTTTATGAAAATTATGCATGTTAAATATACTTACTTAAATAGCAATAACAACCCTCTGTGAAGTTTCTACAGCACTTCCCTCCAGCGCCTCTGCTTCACAGGTCCAGCATTCTCCAATCTCGTACAAGTGCTTAAATGACCATAAGAACCCGTTGTGAGTTTTCGACAACACTTCTCTGCAGCACCTCTGCTTCATATACGCAGCATTCTCCAATCTCGTACAAGTGCGATTGTTATTCCCTCAACTTGATCACTTCATCGGAGACATAGTCTACCTCTATGCCTTCTTTCTCCAATTGCCTCTTTAAATACCTTTTTCGCTGAAGTATCATCATCTAATTTCTCGATATGACCAATCCAACGAAGAGGATGTATATTAATTTGCTGAAATGTGATACTAATACTATATACTATATTAATAATACCATACCTATTTAGTAATAACTAACAATAGTAGCTTTCTATACTCTTTGCATCTCTTTTTGTTATTATTCCTGATATATAATATATATTTGCCTTGATACCGTAAAGATCCATTGTATTGTCAATCTCATTTCGATAAATTACAAAAATTTTCGGCAACTTTTGCGGAATATTTGAAAGAGTTGAGGAGTTGATGTTTGTCATATTCTAACTTTTAGCACAAGTTCTTGAAGTCTGTGTCTTGAAAATGTAAGGCGAAATCATAGGAAATGTTTCATGGTTGCATCATCTTTCAAACAAAATGTACATAAGCTGTTACTCCGAGGCTAAGATAAAAGGGGTGTTTGGCACATCTGCTGTAACTACTGATCGCACCAATTATTAGTCCACAGTCCTTACAAGATATAGCCTTTGCACAAAGAAAAGAAAACCTGTAGCCTTTGCACAAATTTCAGGTAGAACCAAGTAAAGGCTGTCGTCATTTCAACATAAACTTTTTGATTTTAATTGAATCTATCTGTTAATGGATAGTCTTATAACATACTAAAGCAAGCTAAGAAAGAGTTGCGATCGACAAGATATCATATTAGAACCGATTCTTAAAAGTTCGACAACAAATTTGTTTGCTGAAATGCTCAAATCACCAGATACCCATTTAAAGCTCAATCACTATCTGTATAGCAGGGTTTCATTGATAGAATCAGAAAGAGGGTTAAATTGCTGTGCCCACTCATCGTATGAATATCAGGAAAACATGGCTGCAAGTCTGCATTGATCGGCTTCTGCATACAAATTTATTTACTAATATGAAGATACAACGACTTTGAATCTAGTTGTTTGAATTTATACGAGTCAAGTTTATTAAAAACTCACAAATCAAATCGTCTTTATAATCCAGTAAGTTTTTTTTCAGGTGTTTTACTGATTTTTTATAAATAGTTTTGTCTCCGAGACTACTGATTTGATGACAGATTTTTTTAATAAGTATTTTATGAAATATATGATGAGGGTTTTCATTACAAACCATTATTACATTAAGTTTTTGTAAAATTTTTTTTTTGATAATTATGTGAGAAGTATAGCTGTAAACTCAGTTTATACCTATTGTTATTATAAATATTATTATGTTTAGATAATTTACAATGCGTTCTATAGTTCTATTGTGTTCATTTTATGGACTTATGGAGTTATGGTTTTTTTCCAGCTCCAACTTCCTCTATGAATTGTAGTATTAAACCCGCATTTCAGACTTTTATTTCTTTTATTTCTTCATCGGAAACTTTATATATTCCTTTCGTTAATGCATCAGAACCGGGAAACTCTTAGCATGTCTGTAGAAAGCTCATGCGTTTCCTTATAAAATCTATAAATTTCATTATAGTAAGTTCATAATTATGTCAAGTGATAGTTTAA